TCCTGAGAGAAGGCATTGACTCCATGGCTGGGGTAGGGAAGGTACAAGGTGAGCCTGGGACATCTTGTGGTACTTGAATGTAAAGAAATGCTGAATTGGGAGCATGCCAATGGTAATGTAAATGGGCAGATGCCATCCCAAAGTGTCCCAGTCCCCAAAGTCGAAGCAATTTCAGCAGCAAAATATAGTATTGGATTATAACCCAAAGGAGAAAATAAATATGCACAAGTTGGTGTTGATGTGAATAACTGAATATGTAAACAAATGGAGGATAAGGGAGATTCTTTCCTATAGAAGAATTCCAGAGGAATGAGGAGGCAGATGGTCTCTGTTAGAAAATCCCTGTGTGACTGTTGCAGGTCAGATCCACTGATGTATGCTAGAAACAGAATATCTGCCAGGTCTCTTCCAGGGTAGCTGTTCATTCTAATGGGGATGCAGAAACTCTACATTCACTGCCCTAAGTGGCCACCAATGCTAGCTGCTCTGGGCTGCACAGTTGACAGGCCAGCAAGCACAGCTCCAGTAGCGCATTGTCTGTGTCCTGCCAGAAATGTTCAGTATCCTCAGGAAACCCAGGCCAAAGGCATTCCACACTCACAGGCAGAATGAGAGAAGCTGGGAACTGCATTAGCCAAAGGCAGTGTGGTCCTGACTGAGACCTGAATGAGGCTGTTGGAGGGAGACTGGTGACTAGAAAGAAGGAAGCCACAGGTGAGTTAGTGGCATTTCCAGTGTTCTTTTCCCGGTTTTGATCCTTGCTCTGTAGCTCTGTGATGGTAGGGGAAGCCAGGTGAAAACTACTTGTAGAGGTCTGAAATCATGTTTAGGTGCTCACCAAGAAAATGAAGAAGCAGGGCTAAGACTGGGCAGCAGCTGCATATGCATGCTGGCCATGCTGACCAGATGAGTCTGGGGTCATGCAGGGGCATGAGTATAATTAGAGCTGAGCCCCTTCCCCACTGATACAGCAGCTCTGGCTGAGGAATGAGGTGTGGAAGGAGCAGGAGCAGTTTTCTATCATGTGGAAACGTGTGGTTGTTGGCTGGGTGAGAACTTCCTGAACAGTACTTAAAAATCTCTGCATTGTACTGGATGTAAATTTTATGGCAGGAGTAGGACCTGTCCCCAGGCTCAGGCCCTCTGGGCAGCTGAGTCCAGAATCAGCTTCAAGGCTCATAGTCCAGTGATGTCCACCCATTCCCCAGCAGTGGTCACAAGAGGACTTACGAAACCCATCCTGCATGGGACTCAGTCCGGGGCATTTGGAGCTGGTGAGGTGCAGGGGAGAGAAAGGAAGTAAGATTTGCTACAGTTGGTGGTTGATGTATGAATGGCCAGTTCAAATCCAAACTGGTAGGAATATGCCAATTTGGAGAATTATAAAATTAGTAACCAGAAAAAAGAAATGAAAATTTTGCTAATTCAGATGAAATTTGCAAGGGAAACTTCATTTTATACTCTTGTATTATTTGACTTGTAATACAAATACTACACAAAAATACTTGTGTCATAGTTTACAATTCTTAAAACTTCATTCACAAATTTTGGTCATTTTTCTTACTGGCAACAAAATTTTTGTGCCATACCTTCTATCACTGCAGTTGGAAACAGCTATCCTTGACTAGACATTTCAGAAACTGGAGGCTCCCCTCCCCATAGTCTCCTAGAGTGGCGTGGAAGTGGTGTGTGAGATAATGGCCCTTAGACTGCACCAGTCAGGCCCATACTTACTTAGGGTCCCAAGGGCCTCCAGAACTGTGAGCTTCCTGATAGGCATCACAGGAACAAGGACTGCAGCTCAGGGATGAGAGAACTGAACTTCTGCAGTTTCAGCACAAGAGTAGCCTCTGCACTCATCTGTGGATCTGGAGCTGCTTTGTTGCTTCTCTGCACTTTTCCTCTTTGTGCTATGAAATGAATTCAGGGAACACTGGTGGGTTTGTCAGGGAAAACCAAGTAGTTCTGTTGGGGCACGTTCCTGACAGAGAGGGTGAGGGGCAGGTGCTAGTGAGGCAGCTCTGTAAGGCAGGCACGTTTGAATGGATGATAGCCGTGGCTCTCAATGTGCACCTGTGCCCTGTATTTTCACCCTGCCACGTGTTCCTCAGACACCCTGAACAAGACAAGGTGAGCGTGCTGCAGGTAGTAAAATACAGATTGCCCCAGCCTGCCATCCTAACTGTGCTTACTTGTACAGTTCAGTGGCACTCCTTACCATTATGTTGTTGTCAGTCACCACCCCCCATCTCTAGAACTTCGTCATTCCAAACTGAAATCCTATTCCCTCCCTCAGCCCCTGGCACCCATCACTCTGTCACTAAGTGTATATCTTTTTTTGATCGGATCATTTGACTTTCTGTTATGTCTTCAACATCAAATCATGTCGCATATGTCAGGATGGCATTCATTTTTCAAGGTAGAATAATATTCCATTGTTTGATTTTGCCGCATTTTTTGTTTTCATTCATTTGTTGGTGGACACTTGGATCGCTTGCACACTTAACTACTGTAAATAGTGCTGCTAAAAATGCAGTTGTCTCTTTAAGACCTTTCTTTCAGTTCTGTTGGATGTTTACCCAGAAGTGGACTTGTGGGTCATATGGTAATTCTACATTTAATTTTAAGGAATTGGCGAACTGTTTTCCACATTGGCTGCAACCTTTTACATTCCTACAGCAGTTTCTCCACACCTTGAAGCACTTATTTTCTGTTACTTGGATAGTAGCCATTCCAGCGAATGTAAGGTGACATCTCACTGCAGTTTGAATTTGCATTTTCCAAGACTCACTGATGTGCATATCTTTTCACATTTTGGCCATTTGTAGTTCCTTTTTTTTTTTTGGTGAGACTGGAGTTTGAACTGTGGGCTTCCCACTTAGAAAGCAGGCACTCTACCGCTTGGGCCACACCCCCTGTCCGTTGTGCTCTGGTCATTTTGGAGATGAGACCTCATGAACTATTTGTGCTGATCTCCCAATTGCAATCCTCCTGATCTCAACCTCCCAACTAGCTAGGATTGCAGGCATGAGCCACCAGCACCTGGTCCATTTCTGCTGCTTCTTTGGAGAAGAAAAAATCTCTTGAAGTCCTTTGCCCATTTTTAAATTGAATTGTTGGGATGTTTGTTGTTGAAGGTTCTGTTGCTTTTTAAGCCAAGATAGGTGATACATATTTTTCTCATGGACCTAAAGGCCATAAAAAGAGGAAATACTTGCCATGAAATTTAGTTAATCGATAGATTACATAAACGTCAAATGGAAAGACTTGTGCAGCATTAAGTACTATTTTAGTAACACTTAGACATGTTGAATTTTAGTTTTGGAAACATTTATTTTTTTTCTTCACTTTTACATATTTGTATACCTGACAGTACAAAAACCATCACAAAAAATACAGCTTTTTCCCCCATTTAAAATACTTTGTAAAAATGGCAACCAAATTAATATTTGCTCAAAGTTAGCCATTTTTCCTTTATTATTATCTAAGGGACTCCCCAGGCTTAACTCCTAAGTCCTCTGAGTCCTGTGGAGCCGGTAGTGGCCCAGGCAGTGTCCAGCAGCACCAAAGAGGGCTCCACCTGCAGAGTGCACTAGTGTGGGCCCTGTGGTCAGCAGGTCTAGGGCCAGATTTGCAAAGGGCACTGTCACTGCAGACAGCCTGCCCAGGGCTCAGCTGGGAAAAAGATGAGTCTGTTTGCTCCTCGTGGAAGCATGCAGATGTAGCTTCCCACCTGTGGACAGAGTAGCCACTGTTTGTGGGCATCCACCTGGCTCACCTTTTGCCTAGTGCTGCAGCTTTGGCCAGGTGCACAGGATGTCCTTCCCTGACTAGTGAAGCTGGTCAGCTGCCATCTGTTCTGCAATGCTGTTTCTAGAGAGTGGTGTTATTTTCTGCTTTTGATATGTTTGTGGTTTTAGTTAGGAAAGCCTTTCACATTTGAAAGTGTCTCCATTCAGTATTTGAGTCAATGATAACAAACTAGTGTAAGATTAAATACAAGATTCAAGGACAACATGTTTCCTTGAGTTGGAGTCAGTGCCCAGAATAGAACGTAGGTGTGTGTGTTTCAAGCGCAATTTTGCTTGTCTTGATGGTTTATAACCATTGTCCATGCTGTTTAAGTCTGTTCTGACCATGATAAACAGGTTCAGGTGGCAGATTCACTTGTTTTATTAAAAGTAAATACTAACGAATGAAAAGGGGCTTATACACAATCTTCTTGCCAAAGAACAACGATGGGGAGATAAGCAAGTGTACGGCTGGTAGTTCAGAGCCTCTTTCCCTAGTGCCTCCAGTAGCCTCCTGTCTCAACAGTTCTTCCTTCCTCGTTTGCAGACTGAAAACAGACTGCTAACTGTATCAAAAATAAAATTTTGTGTGTCTTTAGTTTTGATAGTGTGGCTTGTTGTTTATGGTTTTTCTCATTGAAAGGAAGAAACTTTTTTAAAAAATGAAAAGGTATTCAGGTTGTTTAGTTATCGCCTTATGATTTTAGGTCCTTATTTCATAAAAAGGGAGTACTAGAAAATTTTAAATGTATCAGATGGTAAGATGTAAGTTTCCTTCATCTGGTTCATAGTGCCTTAACAGTTTGGTTGATGCCAAGTGAGGAAATGCTCAGCTTAGCAATAATTAGCTTCTGTCAGATCTTGAAAAATGTAGAGGGTAAATGAAAATGTTGAGTGCTTTCTCAACTTTGGATCAGCATTTGGATATCTTCTGATGTGTGGCTGAGCATATCAAAATCCTTGGAAGATCTTAAAGCATGCCCAGCACTTTCTGCTATGAGATTCTCAAAAAGCACCAGGATATAGCTCAAAGTTCTCAAAATGAAAAGGTGTATTCAATTACTCTTGGGTTAAATAGTGCTTTCGGAATTTAATGTGATTTTTTTTTTCCTGAATTGCAAACCAAATATTTATTATATTCTCTTACAAAAGAAAAACCAAATTAAGATCTTCCTTAAAATGTTTTAATAAAAAGTGCCTTTATTTCAGTATCTTAAAGAGTGGAGAAGAAATATTCAATAATGAAGAGTGTGAATACGCATCCAAAAAAAGGAAAAAGGACCATTTTGGAAATGATACAAATGCTCAAAGTAAGACCATTTTCTCTAGTAATCTTGTACTTGTGGAATAAGTTGACATACTGAATTGCTTTAACAGTACTATCTTATGTTATAAAGGTGATGCAGGTATGTAAGTGAGCACTGAGACTAGTGTTGTCCACTGGCTTCTTGCAGCTCAGCCATTTGAGCCAGTAAGATGTGCACAAACAGAAGATGGCAGAGTCTGCAGAGCCAATTGGCCAAATGTGGTCCTGAGCTCAGTCCATTCCTGAGCAGCGACACCCTCCAAGAGGGATGAGGACCTAGATTCAGGGCCACTGGGAACTCAGGGCAGGAGCTAGATGTGGGCTGAGCTAGAGGTTAGGACATTGGGTTCTTTGCAGCTAGAAGGCATAGGGAAGGCTGGGGCTTTCTCATAGCCCTGCCCATGGCATCAAGAGTTAGTAATACTGTCAAGGTATGAAGGCAGGGTCACATGGAGGACCTTTGTTATTCAAGGATTGTGGACTGTGTATGCCTGTGAACTCTCATAAAGGGCAATAAAAGAGTAGAACTTTTTATTAAAGTACATAGGATGCATGTGTTTAATTAAAATTTTATAGCCATTTATGTTTTAATAAGACTACAATCATTAGTCTTCTAAGTTATTAAGACATGGTACTGTCTTAAATAATTTCTCATGTGGTGGAATCTCAGTTCCTCTAAACTGATACTAGGAAATAAAGTGTTTTAATAAGAGATATAAAAGCATCTCACTGACATATGAGACCACACAGATTGCAGATAATTTTGTTAGTGTATCTAATTATTAAAATTTCCTTAAAATCTTCATTTTCAAATGATTTGCCACACTTTAAAATAGTTTAATTTTTATTCTAGGTTTTTACCGTGAAAAATGGATCTATGTCCATAAAGAAAGCACAAAAGAAGTAAGTGTACTATTACAAATAAGAGCATATGCTGTATTATTCCTGTCAAATGTCTCCTCTTTTGCAGTATCAGATCTGTGGTTCACATTTTAACAGGTGAACATACATAGGAGCTTTTTAGGCAATGATTATAATTGTTTGATATGCATGTGTATAAGTGTGTGTTGTATGTGTGGTATATATGTAGGTGTGGTGGGTTTGGGTGGATGTGCCTGTGTTGGTTGTTTTTGCATGGTATGTGTGGCATATGTGTACACACTGTATGATCCTCATACATCTCCAAATCATTAGGGTTACTTCAGTCTCTGCTAGCATTCCTAGGGGGTGGATGCATATTCTGTCATGTGAGCTGCTGCTCCTGCTGGGAACAGTCCTCATTCTCGTGTGCTTTGGAAGTGAGGACTTCCTGGAGCCCCTCAGTCCACATGGAGAGTGATTCATAGGAAGCTGTTTGTTGAGCTTGAATCTGCAGAGCAATTTGGATTGTCTTGGCCCTTGAAAGCAATTTGGCTAAAGCTCTCTTATAAGCCACCACACAAACCAGTTGGCTCCACAGTTTCCTGTTTCTCTATTTAGTTTCAAGGAAGCCTTGTTCCTTTTTCAGCCCTTGAAACTCCACATTTGCTTTATTTTACAGAAGCTGAGGAAACTAACTCAGGGAACAATTGTTCCTTACATATTACTTAGGTTAGGATAAGTTAATATTCCAGAAACGCTAATTTATGTCCTTAAACTAGCCAAGTTTCCTAAAAGGAATCAGATTCTGAGAGAAAACTTAACTGGCCTGCTTGGTCATGAGCAACATGACTCTAATCCTGGACCTGTGCTCTAAATCACCACTGAAAGTTGTAAAGACAAAATGTGGAGCTGATGAAAGACTGTTAGATATGTCATCTGTTCTGTGTTGCCACATGGATCACAGCAGCATAAGCAGGAGAAGAAATTTGTTGGAAGGCTTCAGGGATGTTCCATGACCCCTTGGGACACTGACAGTCTCAGGAGGGTTCCAGCACTAGTGCTGGTTGTTGCCAGGTCTGCCTCCAGTCCCGTGCCTTCCTCCTTGCACCTTGTACAGACACAGATGGCCTGCATAGGCAGGTGCACTCTGACTAGACCAGTTTCTATTGTGAGGTGGTAGCCACCTTGAAAGAGGTGTCTGTACCACCATTCATAATTCTTTAGAAAAGAAGAAACTAAACTGAGACTTTTGGCTTTCTGATGACCTCATTGCTCTTTGTTTCCCCACAACTTCCAGAGAGTGCTTGAACTTAGCAGATGCTCAGTGAATGTGTGTGCTGATGTTCATGTGAGCATGTGATAGGTTTATGCACACGTTAGGACTATTCTTGGAGTTGGACACAAAACCAGGAAGTCCTCTACAGTTTTCCCATGGAGGCCAGCAGACACACTGCCACCTTGTGTATCCCTGGCCATCCCCACTCGCCTGTTTGGAACTCAGAGAGTCGTGGCTCCTGTTATTGTCCTTCAGTTTATCTGTTCCCACTACTCCAAATTGAAAACCTGTTTCTAGGTGTAAGTATTTCACATGCAAAAGGTGGAATTTAAGTCAGTTTCTGAACCTGAGGTGAAATCTGCACAGGTCAGCACAGAACAGAATGCACCATGGAGGGAACACCTCCAAGGAAGAACAGCACTGTTGTGGGACCGAGGAAAAAGCTGCTCCAAAATGTATAGCACTAGCAGGGGCCTTTTGTGTCCACCTTACCTCATCCCAGCAAGAACATCATGGTTTTTGATCTGTACTTCCTGATGTGAAAAGTGCAGTTGATGCAGCATTTCGGTTACACATAAACCGTTGAAATTTAGCATTGCTATAATTGCATTGTACTCATCTAAATCTGGAATAAATCTTCAGAATAAAAACAAATGCCATTTGCCAAAACTTTAACAAATGTTCACTTAGCCTGAAATCAGTTGTCAGTTCATTCTGACTGATCCCAAGATTTCTTTGTTTAATTCCAGAGGCATGGCTATTGTACCTTGGGAGAAGCCTTCAACCGGCTAGACTTCTCCAGTGCCATTCAGGATATACGACGGTTCACTTACGTGGTCAAAGTAAGTGCTTTATGCAGTACAACTTTAAAGGCTCTCGAGTAACACATTTTGAAGATTACAAATGTGAGCTATTCAAGATGCGTTCAGTGACTACATAAAAAGCCACCTGTTTGCTGTGTAGGAAGGAAAAGAAACAAGCTCTAGAGAAAACACAGGAGTTGCTGTTAGTCGCAGACCTCCAACAGTGCGAGCCCTCCCTCTCCAGGGCAGGAACCAATGATGCCGCAGGGCACACCTTGGACCTCCTGGGTGGGTAATAGAGAAAATGAATTATATACAAATAGAAACTCACAATAACTTTGCTGCATTAATAATTTATTTTGAGAAGAAAAATTATATCTTGAGGTACATTCAGAAGGAAAGGGTCTTAGCTGTATGTTCCACTCAGGTGCTTTTGTCCGCCTAGAGATTAATCACTGTATAGCTTATTTACCTTCACTGTTATAGGTAAGGACAAGTCATGGTTTTCCAAACTGCGTGGGATTTTTCTCTTCATGGCTTCCAGAAGCGTTGCTGGAAGGACAAAGATGGATTAAGTAGCTGTTGGCCTCAGCTGGTTGTGAGTGTGGTGTGGTTCTTTGCAGCACTGGTGGATGACTGGGGAAGTAATCCTGTGGACTCCATCTCATACACAGCCAGACACAGCTGCATTCTGCTAGTTGCTCACTGTTTTCTGAGTTCTCATGGAAAGGGCCACAGGGCATCTTCTCAGGCAGCTCCACTCTAATGGTGGAACTGAGGTTTGACTCTGGTCAGTGGAATGTTAGGAGTTAAGGAACCAGAAAGGTGTAGGTCTGTTTTATAGCAATTCTTTCTCTACCAGCTCTTTGATGGTTGAGATCGCACTTTATTGACTTCTCTGAAGCTAGGGCAGAATCACAGGAGGAGGAACCCACCTTGTTGTCTCACGGCCAGATGCTGGCTTCACTTTCTCCATTTGCTGACTTTCAGTGCTTTGTGTACACCAAGGCCAGTGTCTTATTGATTTCAGTCACTTGAACCATGTTAGGATTTTTTATTTTGTCTGCATACCACACTATTATTATTTACTGTGTAGCTTTTCATCCTAAACTATAATACCTATAGTAACTATAAAATGTTAAATGTGCTGTTTCCTAAAGTAGGCACATCTTAGGGAAAAAAAGTTTCAGAATTGTAAAGTTTATATACCTTAATTTTGGTTATTTGGAGAATTAGCTCATCTTGAATACATCCTCTTCTGCCTACAGATGAACCAAGGAGTGTCAAATACTTCAGGGTTGTGTATTTTGGTTTAGCATCTAAGCCTCCTTGTCACCCTTACTTGTATTTTTTCCTTTGTTCTCACTTTAGTTGAGCTGGCCACTCTTACCATTACTGAATTTTGATGTCCCTGGGAATTGCTCCCTAGTCCTGGTCCCTTTACCCTAGCACTCCTCCCTGGCTCCCTAGTATCTCAGGACTCTGCAGAAACAAGGATAGAGACAATAGGAAGACATCCCCAGCTAGAGTACCTAGTTTTATGAAGATTTTTAAAGACATTTTCATGTCTCTACTGAGGTCTCTGCAGCAGCACTGGTGAAGGTGCTGAGGCCAGATGTCCTGTGTGGAGAGTGGCCACCAAGAGCCTCAGTTCCTCTGCTGTCTGTATTTGTCCACCAGGGGACCTCATTCGAATGACTGGGTTCTAGGACCTGCCTCAGTGGGGGTCCGGTCCGTTAGGTGGTTCAGTTGGAGCACTCTGCTCCACTGTGTCTTGAGGAAGGCACAGGCACAAGGTTAACTGATGCAGACCTTTTCCCCAGGGCTCAGCACAAAAAGAATAGAGACCAAAACCTGAGCAAGAGGCTTTTCAAGCTTCTCTCAGTGCATCACTGGAAATTTTAAAGCAAAGGACTGTAGACTGAGCAAAACCATTGAAAAGGGCTATCTTTAAAACTTTTATTTGCATTGTGGGCTTTGTCTTCAGGGACAGAACTGAATGCTCATCTGTTGTCATGATAATTTATTCTGCAATTCCTGCTGTATCACAAATACCTGGCAAATAGTAGGTAGTTTTTATTCCTAAAGTGAAGGAATAAACAAACAAGCCACTGTTGACTTGAATTTGTTTTATATGTTACTCAACTTAACTTTTCACCACTGTTAAAATATTCTTCACAAATTCTGTTTTGGGTGTGACTGGGCTGACAAGACACTCTAAAGTAATTACATTTTTGTCAGGTTTAGCAAATGAGGAAGTTATTTCCACATTTTAAAATGTTTCTTCACAAGGTCCATGCTGTGTCTTACACTTGTAATTCCAGCTTCAGGAGGCAGAGATTGGGAGATCAAGGTTCAAGGCCAGCCTGGGCAAAAAGTTAGCAAAATCTCATCTCGATTAATAAGCCAGGCATGGTGGTAAGTGCCTGTAATCCCAGTTACGCATGAGGCATAGATTTCTTCCTGACAGATTTTGCTTCATTGCTATGTAGAGGCTTTGTTTGTTATTACCACTTTACCTGCAGTTTCATCCTGCTACCCTCCTATCTTACCCGATGGTGGTATCTCTGGGTGAAACCATCCTCTGTAGGTAGTGAGCCTAAGCCTTCTTTTGGTGATTTCAGTGTCTTTCTAAAGGACTTTTAAGTGCAATATTGGAAAGTGCTATCTACATTGATGATTGGTTGGGGCGGGGGAGGACAGTCGTGGTTGTCCTCTGGGAACCTCTTCTGGTTCCTGGAATATCTTTCCCTGGAGCTCAGCTCTTAGCTTTTCAGTTTGTGAAATTACCAAGTAATTACCAAGTACTTCACAGGATTTGAGCTGCACAATTTGGATCTATTCCATTTAGGAGTTAGAGTAAAATAGAGGCTCCTAAAATCTAAAAGTAGAAGTCATCCTGCTGTGCCATTCCTGGACATACATCTGAAGGAATGTGAGTCCACAGACCATTGAGACACCTGCACCCCCACGATCACAGCAGCACTAGTCACAGTAGCCAAGCTAGGGAGTCAGCCTAGTGCCCACCAACTACAGAAAGCTTAAAGAAAATGTGGTGGATGTACATAACGGAGTATTAGTCAGCCCTAAAGAATGAAATTGTGTCATCTGCAGGAAAATGGATGGATCAGCATGTTCAGTGAAATGAACTGGACTAATATGTTGCATGTTCTCTCTCATATGTGCAGTCTAGACCTTAAAAAATGAGTGGTAATAGTGTAAAATGGGGCCCATTTGGGGGTGGGAACCAGTTCATTGTTCATTTGTTCATAATCATCTCTGATGATCCTTTCTGGGATGTCAGTTATCACAACCAACCTTGGCAATTGTAAGCATTTTGAGGAAACTAACTTTAGTCAGTCGAGAGATGGCTAGAGAAACAGCAGTAACACAGATGGACCTCAGTGAGGGCTGATGCACTAGTCATCACCCAGAGTGAGAACAGCCTGGGTCAGGGTGACAGGCAGAGTGTGAGTGTCTTGGGCAGGGAGTGGAGGGAGAGCTGGCTGACTGTGATCTCGAGGGAGTGGCACTACAGAGGGGAGGTGGCTGTGGGGGGGTAGGGAGGAGGAGCAAGAGTGGCACTTGTCACTGCATGGAGTGGGACACTGACATGATTGGATATATCTGTCCTGAGGTCTGGGAGGTAAGAGGGTCACAAAGCGTTTCAGTTACAAAAGTAACCTCAGTACAAACCAGTGTAAACTTTCCTAAGTTTTGAAAGAATTACTTAGAAAATAAGTTCTCTTTTTGTTTTTTTAGTGGTACTGGGGTTTTGAACTCAGGGCCTTATACTCACTAGGCAGTTTCTCTAGGACTTGAGCTATACCCCTAGTGCTTTTTGTTTTATTTTTCAGGTAGGGTCTTACACTTCTTTCCCAGAACCAGCCTCAGATCACAGTCCTCCTACCTCTGCCTTCTGAGGAGCTTGGTTTGCAGGTGTGAACCTCCATGCCTGGCGTGTTCTTTGAGATAGGGTCTTGCTAGCTTTTTGCCAGGGCTCCTCCTGATCTCTGCCTCTGAGTAGCTGGAATCACAGGCATGAGTCACTGTACCTGGCAAGGACTTTCCTAAAAAGTTACAAAAATCAGTAAGTGTAAACAGGCTGTTGAAGTAAAGGGGTTCCAGGTCAGATCAAAAGCACAGCCAACTCCAGGTTGTGCAGGAGAAGCATACCTACAATGAGAGGCTCACACAGGAAAGGCAGAATGGGCAGAAATGGGTGAGGCGAGGAGCACCAGAGGAAGGAGGCATGTAGTCTCTTTGCAGCGCCAACAGGTGGTCATCCTGGGGTGCAGCAAGGCAGTCTGGCTGCAGGAGGCGCAGGCAGAGGTGGACATGGGTCCTCCGTCTCCTCACAAACAAGAGCTTCCTCTCCTGCATTCTAGATTTCCTGCCATGTGCTTGAGCACTCTTGACTACAGCGCTGTTGAAAGGTTGGGTGTAGTTCAGTCTTCAGTTTCCAGGTAGAGGGGCCTGTTGATTTTCTGATTGTTTGGTCGGCATAAAACAGCATTGTGAAAGTCTGTTCCTGGCACCATGATGGTCCCTTGCTGGGTCCCTGTACAGAGATTATCCTTACAGGCTTGCAGCAGGGCCCAGAGAAAGTCAGGCCCCCCAGATGGGATGATGTGCAGGACTGGAAGAGGAGGTGCTGCTGCCTGAGTGCCTCCTGTCAAATCCCCTCAGGTTCACATAGGTAGAAACCTTTCCCTGAAGCCAGATATAGACCAACCAGCAACCTGATCCATAATTCTCATGTCAGTGTGTCTCCTATGCACTTGTGCATCACCACAGTTGTGTTTCCACAGTGATAGTTACAGATTGTTTAGCTTTCTTTCCTTCTTCCCTTTAAGCTACTTCAGCTCATTGCAAAATCCCAGTTAACTTCACTGAGTGGCGTGGCACAGAAGAATTACTTCAACATTTTGGATAAAATCGTCCAAAAGGGTAAGATGATCACTAAAGTTTTTAATCTTTTATCTTTCCCTGGTGTGTGTGCAGTCAAAAATAATAACGTGAGTACTGTGACATGAGGGAGGAAGATGGGGCCCTCAGCTCCTGAGTTGCTGAGTGTGTGCAGTTTACTTCTGCAGGCAGAGGGTCCACCATGATAGGAAAGGGAGCCAGTACCAGAGACCCAGTCCCAAAAAGCCACTTTGTGGAATTAGCAAGATTGTGGCTTATTCACCTAGGCATCAAATAAGCCAACCATTTTCTTTTTAATTTAACAAGCTTGATCAATTAGTGGCTGTTAGTAAAGAGAACTTTAAATTTTGTGCCAGTAGCTTAGGCACTTCTAGGATATTTTTGTGTGTATATATATTTATATGCCATTTAAAAATATTCTCTTTGTGATAAGTACAAAAAAGTATGCACTGACCGTGAAAGCCAAAAGCTTACCATCAGATGAAACTTTAAAGTATCAAAAACTCTCATTATGGTTGTAATATATGTCACTTAAGGACTGTAGTGAAGTTAGATCCTATTCTGTATTGGGGTAAGAAACATCCAACATATAATTTACCATTGAACCCCACAGCTCAGCAGCACAGCATGGATATGCGGCCATTTCCACCTTCATCTCTAGAACTCCTCCCTTGTCCCCATCTGAAACACACACCCATTAAATGCCTGTCCTCTTTCCCTCCTCAGCCCATCACCCACCATTCTATTCATAAAAGTGGAGTTATACCACAGACCTTCTGTGACTGGCTTACTTCATTTCACACAGGGTGTAGCTGTGTTGGGATTCCCTTCCTTTATAATGTCCCCTTGTATGGAGAGACAGCGCCTTGTCCATGGACACTTGTGAAACTAGGTCATCCCTAGTTTATCCTAGGTGGTTCACTTTTGTGGCTCAGTTTTTCATAGCCTTGTTTTGTTTGCCACAGTTCTTGATGATCACCAGAATCCTCGCCTAATCAAAGACCTTCTCCACGACCTGAGCTCCACCCTCTGCACCCTTGTCAGAGGGGTAGGAAAATCCGTGTTAGTGGGGAACATCAATATTTGGATTTGCCGCTTAGAAACTGTTCTCAACTGGCAACAACAGCTACAGAATCTCCAGATGACCAAGGTACAGCTTTCTTTTTCAAATATATTTTTATTTTTAGTCAGCACATAGTAAATTGTACACACTTATGGGTACAGTGTGACACTTACTGCATGTATACAATATGTAATGATCCACTCAGAGTAATTATCATGTCCACCACCTGTGACATTTATGATTTCTTTGTGCTGGGTACATTCAAAATCCTCTGTCTGTTTTGAAATAGTAAATTAATTGTTTTCACCTTGGTTCTACTACTGTGGAATGCAACACTGGAAGTTATTCCTGATATTAAACTGTACCCTGGACCTGTTTATCACACATTGTCAATCTCCCTTGTCCTCACACCCTCCCAGCTCTGGTAACCACAATGACCACATTGACTGTACTTGGAGATCAGCTGAGCTTCCACACGTAAAAGAGATTATGTGGTGTCTGTCTGTCTTTCTGTACCTGACTTCCTTCACTTCACATACGTACTCCAGTTGCATCCATGTTGCTGCAAATGACAGGATTTCATTGTTTTTTGTGACTAAGTAATATTCTACTGTGTGTGTATCACATTTTCTTTGTTCATCTGTCAGTGGACATCTAGGCTGATTTCATCACCTTGTCTGTTTGAATAGTGCTGTGATAAACATGGGGGTGCAGACATCTGTTCCATATTCTGATTTCATTTCCTTTCCATGGTACCTAGGAGTAATAGTGCTGGATCAAATGCCAGTTCCATTTCTAGTTTTCTGAGGAGCCTCCGGACTGTTTTCCACAATGGCTACACTAATTTATACTCCCACACAGCCTCACTAGCATGCTGCTTTTTGTCTCTTTGGCAGTAATCATCCTCATGTGGTTTTGATTTGCATTTCCCTGATGATGAGCAATGCTGAACATTTTCACATGTGTGCTGACCACTTGCATACCCTCTTTTGAGAAGTGTCTGTTCAGTTAATTTCACCATTTTTAATTGGGTTGATGAGGGGTTTCTTTGCCTTTGAGTTTAATTCCTGACATATTCTAGAAATTAATCCCTTGTCAGATGATAGTTGGAGAAGATTCTATCCCTTTACTGTACAAAAACTCTTCACTTTGATATAATCCAATCTGTCAGTTTGTACTTTTGGGGCCATATCCAAAAATCTTTGCCTATACTGATGTCTTGTAGTGTTTCCCTATGTTTTCTTCTTGTGGAATCACAGTTTCATGAATTACATTTAAGCCTTTGTTCCATCCTGAGTTGACTTTTGTGTATGGTGAGTTTCAATCTTCTGCATACAGTTAGCCAGTTTTTCCAGCATTATTTATGGAAGAGACTTTCTTTATCACATGTATGTTCTTGGTGTAAATATGTGGGCTCTCTACTCTGTTCCATTGGTATATGTCTGTTTTAAGACATCATGACACTTTTTTTGTGACTAGTGCTTTACTGCTTAAACCCAACTCTCAGCCTTTCACAGCCCCACAGTTTCAGCCTTACCCTGGAGCCTTCACCCCCATCTTCTGAGGGCCTGGCACCAGTTTGTATGAGGGAAGAATGGTTTGTGTGACTGAAATCAAGTAAATCAACAGCTAGGTAGCAGGGAGGTGCTGGTGAAAGGTGAACAGTCTTGGGTTGGTGGGAGGAATAGGGGTAGGGATGGATTGTACAGCCTGTGGCCATGGTTAACAGCAAGACACCAACCACTTGAGGTGCTGGAGAAGATATTGCTGTGTGAGGTGATGAATGTGTCAGTGAGTTGGGTGGTGGCGACCATACCTCAATGTGCATATATAAATATATTCAGCTTGGTCAATTACCTCAAGAAAGAAAAGTCTGACAGGGACCTTGGAGATGCTGTGTGCTCCTGCTCCCCCTACCCCTAGTTGGGCTGAAGCATGGTGGCCTCGCTATTTCTATGTCTACAGTGAGATTGAGCCTGGGCCCATGTACTGACCAGTAGTACCTTACTGTGGCCCTCACAACACGTCTTTATTGTCCTCATGAAGTACTATTGATTTCATCATCAGGTTCACATTTTAGAGCCCACCATTTTCTAGATGTCTGTAAACATGCTAACACATCCCTTGCCTCCTCACATTGAAGTAGAGCTGCTGCTGGTGCAGACATGCAGCCTCCCAAAAACGGGCAAGTTACGATGTTTGTGCAACCCTTGAGGACAGGCCACCTTTCCCATGGCCACTCTGTGAAGTGTCTATTCCAGCTTGCCATCATGTTTCTGAGTGAGACACTGTCCTTTCTCTTTTCAGCAGGTGAACACTGGCCTCACGCTCAGTGATCTGCCTTTGCACATGCTGAACAACATTCTCTACCGCTTCTCTGATGGCTGGGACATCATCACCCTGGGCCAGGTGACACCCACCCTGTACATGCTCAGTGAGGACAGACGGTTGTGGAAGAAGCTGTGTCAGTACCACTTTGCCGAGAAACAGGTGAGGGTGCTACCGCATCCTTGGGTGCAGAGCTGGAGGGGCCATGGGCCCCACTGTGTGGAGCACATGGGAGGATATGGAGAGATAGAGCACACAAGGTTGCTTTGGTCTCTCTTCTGCCAATTGTAAGGTTCATTTTTCATATTCAGAATGACCTATGATTCTAAAAATAACCCAGAGCCAAACAGCAAAGTGGAGTTCTGTCCCACCTGTTAATAACAAGCTCACCTGATGAGTCAATTTCAGCTCTTCCTCTTGCCACCCTGTTGGCCTGGAACAGACAGCAGCTCCACACCTCTGGTGGACACCCCCTTGGGTGCATCCTACAGAGCACATGCCTGTGCAGGTATAGCCCACAGAGAACTTTGCTGGGTCTCTGCTCTCCTTCTGTAGGGAAAAGATCTGCAGTTGCTGCTTCTCTGCAGAACCTGGCACCCCTCACTCATCGCACACATCAGGTGCCCACTCCATACAGGGCCAGGGCAGGCAAATGACTTGTTATGTACCTCTTACATATAGTCTGATTGAGCTGCAGGAGCACTGCAAAGATATGGGATGGCATTGTGTCACTCTCCTGGCAAGCACGGCCAGGACCAGGTGCTAGGCAAAGAGCAGGCTGCAGTGCAGGTGTGACATCCTTTGTGTGAGAAGGGAAGTGAGGTAAAGGCTGAGCCTTACCAAGGATCCTCATCCTTGTCTAGTGAACTCAAAAAAGCCAGCACAGCATTTCAAACATAGCTTGAAAAGACCCTCTGATCTTGCCTGAGGAATAGACTGGGTTTGGGCTCAAGGAGGCCTGTTTAGGGACTGTTCCAGAAAAGGAAGGACGTTGAGGAAGACAAAGGGTGCATTGGATGGGGCTTTCAAAGGTTGAGGCCTAAGGATTGCCAGGTGGGCTTGTTGGGGAGAAGCAAAGAACTGAGCTTCTCATCTGAATAGGAGGAGCTATCTAACTGTATCCCTGGACTAAAAGCCATCCTCTCTCCATCCCTCCCTTCCCACTCCTTTCCCCAGCCTCTAGTACCCACTGTTCTACTCTCTTTTTTTGAGATCAACTGAGTCAGATTCTAAGTTTGCATCAGAGGGGTTGAATAATCTTTTGCAGGGAGGATTTAGAACTGAGGAAAAGAGTATGAATGAAGGTGTGTCTGGACTGGGCTCTGTGTATCACATATTCCTGGGACCTTCCTCCAAGGATACCCACAGGGAGAGGAGCCAGGCTTCCAACCTGTGTTCTGAACTCAGGCTGGGCTGTGCATGAGATGTAGCAGACATCGGACCCCAATGTATATTAAGGGTGTCTGCTGATCGCCTGTGAAGACCTTAAAATTCCTTGAAGGAACACTTTAAAGAAGTTAAATGATGAACTGGTAGAATGGCTCAAATGGTAGAGTGCCTACCTGGCAAGTGTGAGGCCCTGACTCCAGTACCACTTTAAAAAAAAAAAAAGTTAAATGTTCTATACCAGTATTTCACATGCACCCAGAGGTTAGGATCTGCAATTAGCACCTACAGGTGCTTATTTTCATGTACATTTTCTTGACTCAATTACAAAATAGCATCAAAAAGATAACAACCTATTCTTTAGGGCACAGTGACTCCGAGAAAAGACAACTTCTAAAACTGAATGGATCCAGTCTAAAGTAACATTGGAAAGGGTCCCTAGCAAGACACACTTGATTCGAGCCCCTAGTGTAGATACGGGACTCTAGTTTAGAACAATCAAAATGGCTGTTCAGAAGGAAACAGTATGAGTGTTCCTCCTTGTAAACATTGATGGGGAACAGAATTAGGAAGAGGAGAGCTGAGACGAGGTGTAGTTGCTTTTGTGTCTAAGAACTAAGGTGTCAGCAATGCTGGAGGATACAGAAACTGCTACAGATTTGTAGCTGGTCCCCTTTGTTTTTCTAGCTGACCTCTTCAAATTTTGACACAAGATCTCTTCATTGACTCCATCATAAACTCCAAACAAAGTCCTCAGAAGTCATGACTGAGTATCAGACTTTGTATGAGTGATTGCTTGTTAAAGAGCAAAACATTCATTGCAGCAGCAAACCTAGACAAGGGCTTCATTCTACACACATGCAAGGCAGGGAAGCCTGCCAGTCCCCTGGCCATGCTGCTGGATGTGTACACAACATAGGCATAAAACACATCTAGCTGAGCCTTTGTTCTCCCACAACCAGCGTCCTATCAACATTTTTTGGTAACACCTTTATTAATCTACCATCTACTTTGTACAGCTGGTGCTACAGCTGGGCTCAGAGCATACACATCACCTCAGAAGAAACCTGTAACCTCCCCAGCCCTAGCAACTTGTCTACTTTCCACTTCTGGATTCCCTGGTCTGGATGTTTGACAGGAGTGAGGGGAGTGTGCACTGCTCTGGTCTTGTGATTAGCTCCTCCCCTTCACATGATGTTATGAAGCAGAACTGCATTCCTCTTAAGGCTGAGATTTCACTCTAAGGACACACTGATTTGTTTACCCATTCACCAGCTGGTGGGCAATTGGTTTGCTTCCTCCTTGCAACTGTTATTATTGCTGCTATGAACAGCAACTGAAGAGCTTGCGTGTGGGCGCATCTTTGTTTCTCTCGGGTAACTTCCTGGGCCTGGAACTAAAGGTCAGATGGTGGTTGTGTTGAACCATCAGAGTAGCTGCAGACTGCTTCCCACATTGGCTGCACCATTTTGCATTATCCTAGCAGTGTCCAAGGCAGCCAGTTCTCCATGCCCTCCTGGCATGTCTGGCTTTCTGATCGCAGCTGCGCTTAGGTGAAGTGCTATCCCATCTTACGAGGGCATCAGCCATTTCTGTCTTCTTAGGTGAAATGTCTTTCAAGTCCATTGTCCATTTTTTAATTGAGTTAAAATGTTCTTTAGATATTCTGCATACAAAACCTTTGTCACATATATGACACCTGTAACTCATTTTAACTTTAAATGTCAGGGACATGGTTCCAAAGCTGAGTCTTCGAATTTTTCTCACAGCTGCCTAGTATCATTATATAGGCACACCATGATTTATTTGACTTGTCCCTTATTTGTTTAATCAAGTAAGTTTAATTTCAAATAATTAAATGTATCATGAACTTCTCTGTCTTTGAAAAATGTATCTAATGTTATATTTGAAAATCATCTGATTCTGAAAGAATTTTATTTGTTTAGTTTTGCAGACATTTGATTCTTTCAGAAAAGGGTCATATCGAATGGAAGCTGATGTATTTTACACTTCAGAAATATTACCCAACTAAAGAGCAGTATGGAGACACTTTGCATTTCTGTCGGCACTGCAGCATTCTCTTTTGGAAGGTAATGATTTCAAATGTCCTCTTGGAATTTAAGGATTGGAATTCAGTGAAATAAACTATTCACTTGTACTTTAAGTGGGGAATTAAGAAAAGAATGGAAAACAGTGTTTGTGATGAAAAAGTTACGTGTTTCATCAGATACTGCAGAGGGAACAGGACCATAAAAACAAATACACAATTGTGTTTTGGTTCTGCAGTGTTGAAAACCTAAATGCTGTGATCCTCTAATAGGTAGGTCGCTCTTCTCCCTGTTGGAGACTGGGCAGGTAAGAGGTGTGATAGGAGCAGGTGAGGCTCCTGAGCATCTAGTCCTGGGCAGGGCTTCTGTCACCTGAGGAAGAGTCCTGTCCTGTCTGTCCACACTTGTCTTCTAGTGACCTGTCTGGAAGACAGGCCCACTGTCTGCAGGTGGCCAGGATGAGTCTTGAGCCTGGTTTCTGAAAACCAAGTTCTTAGAGCAAAAGCGCAATAAAGAAACACAGGCTTCAGAATAAACCTGTACTTTCCTCACTTAGGTGATCAAAATTTAACAACATTATCATTACTTGTCTAATAAAAATCCTAGAAACAGTACATTGGTACTGCTTTACCCTGTCTCCTCATCACCACCCACGCTGTCCCTAAAGACATGAGCCCATGGTCAGTGGTGAGCCCCTGCACTTCTTAGGTATGGTTTGTTTTCTTGGCATGTTAATATGACCTCACCCTAGAGTGCATTCCACTCTTTGCCTGAAGTTTGACTAACACTTCACTGGGGAGGAAGTGCTGGAACCACAGTGGCCTGGTGCCTGGCTGAGCAGCCATGCCACACTAGGGAAGGGCCCCCTTCAAGTGCTGCCCCAGGCCAGAGGAAGCTCAGCCTTTCAGGAACCAGCTGTCTATCTTTGGCTTCGAGGTTTAGGGACCTCATGAAACTCTTGCCTAGAAGAAAACATAAGGCACTTTGATTTTTTTTTTTTTTTTTTTTTTGCTTTATATTTATCTAAATTTCTATCAGATGAGAAAGGCAAGTTCTAGATTGTTGGAAAATAGCTAAACTTCACTTATAATAGTGTAGCTTTTTATTTTTATGACCCACAGCTAAGCAGAGAAATAAAGATATTGAAGTTTTCTTGTATTATGGTAACAGGGTTTTACTTACTAGGTAGACAGCATCTACCGCCAACAAGAATAACTGAAGAGGCTTTGTTTCTTATCTCAGTATGACTCCCCTCATTCTCAAAATTAAAAAGACACCAGGTATGTGAGGCATCTTTGCAGCAGTGTAGCTGTTCTTCAGACTGCTGTCTCTCAAGAGAAGAATCACCTTGTGTCCAGATTCATTCTCAGTTCCTTGGTGAGGTTACAGAAGCACAGGACACAGAATTTCCTTTGTTCCCTTCTCCCCAGTCTTGGGGCACAAAGCACAGGAAAGAGGAGGCCCGGGATGTTGAACTCTCATACAGCTGCTCTCAGCAGCTCCTTATAGGACTAAGCCTTCTCTGAATCATTAATGGTTCTGAGAACATGAGGTCATAGAGCCAAAGTAGGTGAGACAGTGCACTGTCTGGTTTGAATTAATGCTTCTCCTAAGAGTTACTGTTTTCTTCTAAGAAGATTATTTCATATTGTAGAAATAATAAAAGTGATGGTACTTTTTTGGGGGGGAAATGCTATTCATGGTACAGGCTTTCAGTTTTCTAGGTGATGTCAGTAGTTATTTTTCTCAGAATAGTTTCTGTGAACAAACAAAAAACACAAAGAAGCATGTACTTTCCCATTTTCTATGTTGCTGGGTGGTATAAAAATGTGCTGTTTAAGTTTCTAAAATGTCTAAGTTCTAATGGTTTTTTAAATTGAGGGATGGTTTTTAGCTTTCCAAAAGAATCAGCCTACAAATTCGTATGTTTGGTGGTATGAAAATTTGGAACTGGCCCTTCGTAGTGAAGAGGCCTGATGATTGCAGGGCTCATCTCTCACCTTGAGGGTAGGAGAGGCCCCCAGGATTCAGTGTAGCCAGCTTCTCCACCACTCTTCCAGAGGCACTGCTCAGTTGTTTCTGAACTTAAGTATGCAAGTGTAAGGAAGATCACTCTCCTACCTTAACCTGTCAAGTGATCAGATACCTCCCCTCTGTTGTGGCTTGCAGCAGCCTTGTGGGCAGACAAGGAGTCAGGCAGGTCTGAGCTGTCTCCATGCATGGTGTGTATCCATGTGTATGCCAGCAGCCTCCCTACCCCTGGAAACAGCATGGTAGAGTTCAGAAAATGGTGCCTACTCTTACGCAGTAGCAGTCAGTCTCCCAATGAATATTGCTGATCAAGAGACAGGTAGCATCAAGCCTATTAAGAAAGCAGAAGAGGGATAGCTAGTTCTTGCCTGGCCCCAGATGGGGTCAGGAGCTGGAGTATGGCTATGCACCATTTCAGTTCAGGCCAGGCCTGTTGCTGTGTTTCCCAGTGCCAACCTGTCCCTATGAGATCCCTTCACTTGATCTGACTTCACTGTGTTGAAGAGATTCTTTACTCTTCCACATGTGTCTAAATACCAGGTCAGTGGCCCCTGTCCAGGTCACTGGCTGCTGAGAAGGGCAGAATCCATGCATGCCATGTTTCCCATCCTTACTTGGTGTCCCAAGTAAGGATGAAACCTGTCAGGAAGTGTGGACTCATGCAGTGGGCTAGGGAAGTCAAGAAACTAGGACTTGGCATTTCCATGCCCTTTTCTTGTCTCAGTGTTTCAGTGGTGAACTGGACACCAAGCAGTGACCGGAGGTTCATGTGGATGTCAGTAATAAAGCTACGGCCAGAACCTAAGTCAGGGCAGAGCTCTCAGACCTTGTCCAGTTGCCTTGTCCCTGTGAGGTGTTCTCACATGCACAGGACTGACAGAACACCTCCACTCTGAGCTGGGGAGGGCAGGGAATACAGACCAAATGGAAGCAGCAGCCATGCTGGTCCTCCTTAAGGAACCAGGTGTCAGGCTGGTCACGTGGCCTTACGGCACATGTGGGTCCATGTAACACACTATTTAGACAGAGAAGACCCTGGGACAAGGAAGAAATAAAGGACTTTCCCCCAAAAAAACCTTAGCAATATCAGGAAATATCAACATTCCTTTACACATTTTTCAGCAAATGATTCAGCAGTGTGGCTTCCTGAGTTGTAGACTTGAGAAATACTTTCTCCTGTCATGATACTGTGTTCAAGTCATACAGAATTTGGGGTGTCTGGTGGTACCTTGTCTTTTCATGTTTTGTATTGTCCAGACTTAGTTATGTGGTGGTTTAGTAGTTTTCACAAATTATATGCTTCAAACCTAAATCCTAACTTCGTCTGGCTCTCCCTAATCCTGATTTTTCCTTTTTCCTCCCTTGGCTGCATTCCTTGCTGACTCTTTCTTCACGATCTCAAAGGACTACCATCTTGCTTGGTTGTTCAAGGTACTTTCTGTTGCCATGCCTGCTGCTCTACTTCCTGTGTGCATTGTCCTTTCCCTGAGGGTGACAGCCTCACTTGGTTCCAGTGCTCCTGGCCAATGGCAGACCTGTCCCTGGGAGATGACATGAGGGCCACACACCCCTTCAGCATGGCCCACTGGGAACTGAGACAGCACTGGCCCCTCAGCCTCCAGACCGTGTCAGTTTTCTCCCACAGGCCTTGTTTCTTCTGTTGTCACTTCATTAAATGTCCTTGCTGCTCCTTGATTGTGAGCATTGCCTGTTCTCAGGACAGCACTTGTGGGGTCCCATCTGCCCTGATAAGGATGGAGGCTGCATGCCCACTCCCTGGGGCCTGTGCAGGTGGAGGGAACTGAGCAACTAGGTTAGCTGGGACCTGCAGACAGGACACAGAGGGATGGGCCAGGGATCAAGAGACCAGTGGCTCCCGAATCACCACATGCTTATTCCAGAGGCTGCTGAGCGCTGGGGCCGCCCTCATACTGATTCCCATCCAAGGTAAATACCACTGTTGAGGTGGGGTCATGGTCCGCTTAACTCCAATGATCTCTCTGGAAGCATGCCTGACAGCAGTGACAGTGTGTCCTAATCTGCCTCCTACCCTCCCCGCAGGACTCAGGACACCCGTGCACTGCAGCCGACCCTGACAGCTGCTTCACACCCGTGTCCCCGCAGCACTTCATCGACCTCTTCAAGTTTTAATGGCCACCCTCAGCCCTGCTGTCCCTGTCCAAGGTTGTACCTTGTGCTTTCTGTGCATAGCTGGTAGGAAATGTTCTCTGTGACAAAGAGATGATGGTCAGTGATTGGAAGCATCTCTGAAGCCTGTATATCCAGAAAAACCCCAAAAGAACTTGGAAAACATCCCTCGTGGTGGCTGTGCAGTAGGAATGCACTGTGGCACATTTCCATCCTCGAAGGAGTGGAGGCCCAACAGAACATTTATACTTTTAGAAAACTTTTCTTCTAAGCATATCAAAATTTTCAATTTTGTATAACTATGGATCAAAAAAGATCTGGGTTTTCAGCCCCACATTCTGTGTTGAAGTGACATGAACAACCAGGAATAGTTTCTTAGTTGTCAAATTCTAGTTTCCCACTCTACAGCAATTGGTGTGGAAGACTAAACAATTGATCCTTGTAAATATATTGTGCAAAATATTTTTTTTTCTTAAAATGTATTTTCACAGCTCCATTGGCCATGTGCAAATGAGTCCTTTTCAACTGAAGACAAACAGGGACATGCTCAACATGCTCCATTTGCTGTTGTCAACAGGGCTGTGACCCACGTACACTGTCCATAGCCAAGCAGTGGCCACGCTGTGCTCCTCCTGGGAGCCCCACTATGGGGCCAGCTAGTGTCCACACTGGGGCTGTAGGGCCCAGACCAGGGTGGAGACTGCTAAGGAATCAGGAACAGCACAGTGAGACCTAGACTTGGTATGTGTAGGAAAAGTAATAAACCATGTTTATCTACTAATTAAGCTTTGTCAGGTTTGAGTCTTAATGAAAAATGTGGTGTTAAGTCTTCAAAAGACTTATTTTTAATGCATGTCCATTTTAGAAAAATTTGAAAATAAAGGTATATAAAAACATTGAAATCACCCATAATTCTATCACACAAAGATAATGTGCTTGCTAAAAAAAAAATGAAAAATTGTCCCTCAGCCACCATAGTGTAGAAACGTACTTCTGTATATGTACATCTTTAGCTAGGTGGGAGACCCAAACTAATCATTTCTTTAAAACTTTTCTTCTAAGCATATTAAAATTTGTAGCTGCATATTTATAAATACATATCAAAAAATATTTTGGACTTTCAGCCTCCTATTCTGTGTTGACCTAACATAATGGCCAAGAACAGCTCCTTATTGTCAGGTTAGGCATAGTGCAGACACCTGCCTCGCATGTGCACTGGAATCAGTGTTTTTTAGAAAACCATAGACATCCTATCAATGCTGTTTTCTGATTCTTGTCACTGAGGTCTCCTCCCTTAGAGCTGTGCATTTCTTCTCCATCTGTCTGTGTTTGCTTCATATGTTTGGAGCACTGTTTTGGCGCATGTGTTACCAATCGGTTTGCTGATGTCCTTTTGCTGTACTGGATAGGAATCTGCAGTAGGTGAGGAGAAGCTCTTCTAGTGCTCATAATACTGGGCCCCGGCTTTTTTTTTGTAATCCTCAACTTCTGGCAGTAGTGAACAATAGCAGCAGTTAGCAGCAAGCAGCAGTAGGCAGTGCCTTCCAGTGCTGCAACTCTCTTGGGGGGCCTTGGGTACTGGGACCGAGTCCTGTAGTGACAGACAGGTGTTTACAGCTCTAAGGCCTGGGGTGTCGAATCCTCAGCCCTTGACTGTGGGTTATAGCTTTTAGGCTTAAGAGGTGGGATCCTCGGTCCTTGTGGCTTAGCAGCTTTCCAAAACTCTTCCAGCAACCAGGGCCAGCAGTTTCTCTTCTCTGTCTCTTCACAGCCTTGCCTTTCTTTAGCCCCAGCTCTTTACCCTCTCTCACTTTCTACTTCTTCATTTTTTGCACTGGCCACTCTGAAACTCTTCAAGCTGCCTCTCACTATTGTTGCTGTCCCCTTTGTTCCTTCATGTTATCAACTCAGTCCACTTTACTAATGATCAAAAGTAGGCAAGAAAAAAACACCTGAGGAGAAGCCTTTTATTGGGCCTCACGTGGCAGCACAGAAGGGCGTCTCCCTGCTGGCTCATAAAGTGAGCTGAACAGCCTAACTTCTATAGTCAGAAAGGGGGTGTGGCCCTGGTACTATTTGTACCAGTCAACTTCTGTAGTCAGAAAGGGGTTGTGGCAAGGGCATTTGCACCAAGCACAGGCCATTTGCTGGGCCACCTCTGGCCTAGGTGAAAATGGCTATAGGATCATCTAGAGTTCACAGAGGTTTGTGATGGCAGAAAGTCCAGTGCAAGCTGTTTGAAAAAGTCATGGCTGGGACAGAGCCTTCAAGAACTGGAGTTGTGCCTTGGCAGCAAGCAGTTGTGATCACTGTGTAGCTTCCTCAGGGCATCCATGGAGTATACAAAACAGTGGTGTTGGCAAGAGGACAGTCCAGATGGTTGGCAGTCCTTTGCTCAAGACAGCAGGAGCACCAGAGAAGATCTAACAGCTGTCAACTAAGTCGCTTCAGTCCCACATCTTAGCTTACTTAAAGGAAAAATAAACATTAAAAGTCATTACCAGTGATTTAACAGTATTTAACGGTGCTTTTAACAATGCTTAACTCCCTGCCCAAGGAGGGAGGAAAGCTGGGTCACTTAATCTCTCACGTGTATCATCTGTTACATCTTGGTGAATTTTAAACATTTTTTTATTTAAACAACATTAAGGTGAAATTTGGAATATTAGGATTTACTTCAACATAATTGAGAAGACCGACCATTAGTAAGGTTGGACGTAAGTGTTCAGTTTATACCCAGGGTTGAAACATTTCTGTAGTCAGATGGTAGTGATCTGCTGCCATGTAGTCACTTGCACCTGCTCAGCTCTACGACTGCACAGAAAGCAGCCACAGACATCTGCACACAGGTAAGTGTGGCTGGATCCCACCAAACAGCAAGGACACTTGCAGATGTATTATTTCTTCACAATTTAGAAAACAAGTCAATGGGACACACTTGGCCAAGAGGCCACAGGTTGCCATCTCCAGCCTTGTTTCTTCTTCTGTATATATTTGACATCTTTCCATTTAAAAAATTATTTGCTGTTACCATTTTCTTATTGCAAAAGTATATGTGCATTGTAGAGTTTTTTAAAAGCCAAAACACACACAAAAAATGAAATGGTTACGTGTAATAGCAAGTAACTTCAGAATATTCACAGTTTGATATATCTTTCCAATAATTTCTTTTATATTATTTTTGAGAATTCATAACACGTTCCCAAAGTCAGAGAAACAAGTACATATTAGGATACACTGCCCTCCCACTCAGAAACACAAAGTGCCTGGTGGTGTGTCTCCCAAGAAGAACCAGCCCTGTAAGAACTTGAGGCCTGCAGGACACAGGTCTCCTGTGTGCTTCTGCTATTGGCCTGATGATTTCCTATAGAGCAGAAATGTCACTGCCTCCTTCTAGTTTACAGCACCAATTCTGAAGTCTCCAGAGAGAAGATTTTGAGACCCTAATTTCCTCTAAAGGAGAAAGGAAAGGGAAAAAAAAAAAAAATCAGTTCTGGAACACTCAAATGAGGCAAAAAGTAGTTCATGTCACCTCCACCCTATCCAGATTCAGTTTTCTTGAAAATAAATGTCTAAATTTGCAATTTTTAAAATCATAAAATTCCAACACTAATTTTTTTACATAAAAAGTGTTCATTTTTTTAATTTTTGAGTTGCCATATATTAATAATCAAGGAGATTTCACTGTGATAATTTCACATATGCATACAGTATACCTTGAACAAGTTCATCCCCTCCATTGTATTTCCATTCCCCTTTCCCCTTCTCCTCTTCTCTCAGTTTGGGGCATTTCCTTATGCTGTCTTCATATATATATGTATATATATACACACACACACATATATATCCTCTTTACCCCTTAGTATTCTTTCCTTTACCCCCTCCCCCAGACTGTCCCCCATCTACATTCATATCCCATCACCAGCGTCATCATCGTAGTTGTCATTTCAGGTCGAGGTTCCACAAAATGATAAGAACATGAAATATTTGGCCTTTTCAACTTGGCTTAACTCATTCAGCATGATACAGATTTTTTTAAAAAGATGATGAACCAATAGCCGTCAAACTTCAATCCAGTTTCCAGCACTAATTTTGACATAGAAAATTTATATTAAATAGAATTCTCAAGAAATCAATATATTATTATCACTTGTTTTGAAAGCTAAAATTCTACCCAGCCTGTATGATTAAATGAAAAATCTCATTTCCAACTCTGAAAAGCCTTGCTGAGACAGTAATAATTTCTAAATAATAAACACATATCCCTCCAAGGTCACAGCTCACGTACCAGACCTAGGAGCTGGTTCTGGGTAGCCCAGATGGCATCAGATGGAGGTTTCCCAGCAAGCAGCAGGTCACGAGCCAGCAGCAGGGCATGGCTACTGTGAACCTTGGGAAGCTACTGACACCAGACTTGGTGAGAGAGTGGTCCCAGGCAAAGTCCTGGGCTTCCAGGGCACAGCTCTGGAAAACCCATGTCCTCCTGTCAGCTGTCATTGTGGGCTACTGGCCTATCAACCTGTCTTGTGTTTAACATCAGCTGTCAGAACTTGTGGAGCACCAGGACCGGATAGGCACTGTTCATGGGCCACATGGTCACCCTGCCCTTGCAGTAGGCTCTGCAGATGCTGAGAACCCCAGCCTGTGAAAGCTGCAGGTGGACTGGTTCTGATATTCCCACACCACATTTTCCCTCAAAACATGGCATGTATCATGTCTTCTTTTTCTGAGACAAGGTCTTGCTGTGTAGCCCAGGATGGCCTCAAATTGACAACCCTTTCACCAGCCTCCTGTGTGCAGGGATTATAGCTGTTTGCACCACCATACCTGGCCAGTCATGTAGTTCTGCATTAGTAATGTGGACAGACATCGCTTCCTGTGGTCCCTACATGCACATGAAGCTCAGGACCAGCCCACCACGCATCTGATTGATAGTGATTTCCCAAAGAGACAAGCTCGGTGTGCCACCACTGCTGCCATTCTGGTTGGCACAGGGGCCCAGTTCCTATAGGCATTAATCTTTCCTTGGCGAGGTCAAGAGGTGGCCATCTTAAAATTATGATTAGGTTAAGAAGTGTACTGTTGATGGGATTTTCAGCTGATGCTGAAGGAAAGAACTGCATAAAGACCATGCTCACTAAGGAGTGGCAGTTCAACCAGAAGATCTGCACCCTGTGCATCTAGTCATTCTCATGATGCCAGTGCTGACAGCTCAAGAAGTAGTTCAGACAGGCCAAAGACATCTGGACAACCTCAGTTGAAACTTCATTTATTTATGAAATGTAAATATATTTTCTACATCTTAAAATGAGGTTTACAAGGTCAGGAAAGTGCCATTAGCGCTAAGTGATCAAGTAAAGGCTTGGTATGCAGACACCAATGATCATGCAAGATCAGTACTTTTATTTTCAAATTCTCAGCTTTAAGAAGGAACCACCCTCCCTGAGGTCACTCCCCTGTGAAAATCAGAACAGGCAGGGCACAGGCTGCAGAAGCTGTATGCTCACTACTTGCCCCAGAATTACAGCTGTGGCTGCTCACTGCACGTGAACATGACAAACTCACTTTGGTAAGTATTCTTTCAAGACATTTGCTCCTCAAAGCACACAAATATTTACACTAAAACTCACAGTTTTAATCAAATACAAGACAAAAATCATACTTTCATTAATCTTGGTATATAAAACAATCTTACAGTGCACATTCCAACCGCAGTCTGGCTCTGTCTTTACCTTCTGAGGGGGTGGTGTGTGGTGCAAGGACCTCCGCCAGTGCATCATGACTACATCTCAGTGATGTCAGTTACCAGACTCACACTCGGCACAGGCACAGTGAACAGCAGCTATAAGTTTCCATCCCCAGCCTGAGTGTTGTATTTACATTCTAGTGCTTTGGATGGTACCAGCCAGAGACAGCACCCACTCCTGCTGTGAGACTTCTGCACCATCACTTCCTCTAGGAAGACACAGGCTGCAGCCCTTGCACTAACGCTTACCTGAGGATGTGTATTTTTTAACTCAGCAACTTTACTAAAAACTATAAACTTTCTTCTGCATTATGAAGCAAAGAAAATCTCTGCAATTTCATAATTTCAAGATTCTAACAAAGTTTTATTTGAACAGTTAAAGCTTGTCCCCCACCCCAAGGCTCAGGAAGTGAACTTAACTTTGAAAAAGGCAGGTGGATGCACGGAGAGATGGGTGGATGGACAGGAAGATGAGTAGACAGGACGCAGGGATGGGTAGATGGACAGAAAGATGAGTAACAGATGAGATGGGTGGATGGACGGATGAATAAGTAGCTGTAGATGACAAATGGATAGCAAGGGATCAGGTAAACTGTCTATTAAAGACAGACACTGACCACTACGCTGCACCTCAGGGGCACTGGGTTGTTCTATGGAGTTTTAAGTGGAACATCCAGGTACAGGAGGCAGCACAAAAGTACACACTGGGAAAACACAAGGATGGGATTTTTTGCTGTTTTTCCCATGGGGGGGATGCACAGTGAAACTGGAAGCTTTTGTTTTTAACCAAAACAAAAATATAACTTTTCTGTCAAACCACTTCTACCTAAAAGATATTTGCACCACCTGCTGCTAAGCGCCACCCTGCAGAGACACAAGACCATGGTGCCTGGCATACAGCATGGCAATGCCGAGGACAATCAGCAGGCCTAGAGAGACAGGCAGAGCGAGACGCAAAGCGCCATGAGTTCTGCTTGGAGAAACACGATTTCTTACAAATCTAACATCAATCACAAAAACTATTTCACTTAGGAAAACTAAACACCTGGGAATCATAGAAAAGAGGCACTTTAGTATTCTACATACAGTTTAACTTGGTAATGAGCAAGTTCCTGTAGATTATCAAGTGACTAAAACTTATTCTCACTTTATGGCATTTTTTAACCTGAAATCTGTAAACTAAATTAAAAAAAAAAAAAAGAGAGGGAAAGAAAGGTCAGAATTTAAAAGCTGAGAAGCAAAAAATAAAATCCCACAAGAGAACCACTGTTGCTACCCAGGCACACGCTGGAGGCCGCTCTTCAGCAGCAGGTGGACAAGCTCTAGACCAGTGTTCAGCCTCATACAACCCTCACTGCTCCAGCATTTGTTATTTAACTTGCAGGTTAAGCAGAACTAATGTGACCTTTGGAAGACACATCTTGTGACCTGGGACAGGAGAAGATGCCTCTGCTGCTACATTTGCAAGTCATGGTGGCACCAGTGTCACACACAGAAGGGTCCTACAAGCTGTGACTGAGGCCAGTGTCACTTTGTAGAGACAGCAGGTTGTTACTCGATCTCATAGGACGGCATCAAAAGTGCACATGTGCAGTTTCAGCAAACGTGAACAGACTGCAGCAGGTGGACGTTTCCACAATAAGGCCACCAAATGCCACCAGCCAGAAGCCACTGTGTGCATGGGCAGGGAGTGTGACTTGCTGGCAATCAGTGAATTCCTACTCTTGAGCATGGGAGGGTTGGACAACTTAATGGTGCATAGCAGGGGGCCACCCAGCCCAGCAAACCCCAAAAGCAACATGACAGTGCAACAAGGCTCCTTCTTTGCTCATTCTACCTCCTCGTGGGTGTCCGTTAGGTGGCCTTTGCTGTGTCGCCGGATGTTCACCAGTTTCCCTGCTGACCGGAGGCTCCAGCGAGAGCTGCTGGTCGAGCTGGCCAGACTGGTGTACTTGGTGGAGCCCTTGGTGTCATCCTCCCATCCTGACCAGGGTGCACAATCACTCAGAGCATCACCAACATCAGCTGCCACGTCTTCAGGACCAAATCTTGGAGGCTCCCAACCTTCTATCTCATCTGCTTTTTTAGACTGGCTGTTCTGTTTTAAAACCAAACTGTCCCAAAATCCAGATTTCTTCTCCAATTTCAACTCTTCTTTCAATCGTAAGTTAGCTCTGTAGGAGGTAAAAGTTTGATGATCATCATCCAGTGATTTCACCAGTGTGTCAATTTTATAAAGTTCTTCTCTAAAAACTTTAAACTGCTTAGAAAGTTAACACAACCCTATGTGTAAGTTTTAAATAAATCTTACAATTAATGGATAAAGTAAGGAAAAGTTACAGTTATCCACTACCCACTGTTAGTGAAGCTTGTAGAAAGCAAAGGATCCTGCAAGGTTGAGACTCAGCATGGTAAAAGACAAGAACCAGCCTTAGACAGGAAGCTGGGAAGTGTTGTCATGGGGGGTTAGCAGTAAGAGACCACAGGAAGGACAGCACCCACTAGCACTGCAGCAAACCACACATGGAATCCCAGGGGCCAGATTAGGAAATAGGGAAAACAATTTACCAGTCGGTTTTCTATAGGGTTACTTGAATAGCAAGCTTGTAGGAGGTAATTTACTCAACAAAAGAATGAACTCAGAATACCTCCTACTATAAAAAGGAAAACAACACCACAAAACACATGCAAGTCAAAGCCCTGCCCAACTGCCCATAAGCATGGGGCATTGCTGCGGACACTGGCGTCCAGGCCTCACTCCAGAGATGCTGCCCCATCACAGCCATCCAGGAGCCAAGAGGGCCATTCATGCTGTCCTCCTAGTACATGGGTGCAGGTGAAGCCACAGCACCTCCAGAGTAGAGAGAGTAGAGGGCCTGCATATGTAGACACAGCAGGGCCGCAGTCCTCCACCAGAAGAAATCAGCATGCAGGTCACCTCCTGTGCCAACAGGCAGGCCATCAACTGGTATTTGCACTTTTTAACACGTTGAAATATAAGGTGTCAGTTTAAATGTACTTTATTTTCTAAACCCTTTTACAGTTTACAATCAATCCTTTGCAATTTTGTTTTTCTTTTGTTTTTACAGTGCTGGAGTCAACCCCACCCCAGGGCCACAGGCATGCTAGGCAAGTGTGACAGCCCTACATATCACTGCGTGGCATCTCCAGCTTTGCATTTTTAACAGTACTTTTCTTTCTGTTCTTAAAGCACTAAAAATCTAACCATTTACTCAACAAAAGAACTCAGAATGCCTTCGTCTATAAAAAGGAAAAGGCTTACTATAAAAAGGAAAAAAAACACTAAAAATGTTTTTAGACTGCTTTAAGATTAGGAAGTTCACCTTATGATTCTGAGTTCTTTTTACTTTTCTGTAGCATTTCAACATGCTTATGTCACACTACCACCTTTCACCAAAAGTACATTTTACTTTCTTTTTGTTGCCAGAGCATTCAAAAAACATACTCATCTCTGTGTACTCATGGGTCACTTCTCACAGGCCCCAGGACAGCAAAGGCCTCTCCAGGGCTCAGAGTCTGCACCACTCTTCACCCCTCCACCATAGCCACCTCTCCAGTTCCCAGTGACTTCCCTCCCCTCTTGAGTCAGGATGGCTTATGACTTACACTTTGGACTTTGGAGATTTGCATCTCTCAAGCAGATGTTGTTCATCGTCTTTGTTAAACAGAGAAGTTACTTCTTTCCAGCCTCGGAAACTTGCTCCCTGACCCTAATGAAAGGTAAAGAGAAATGTCAAACCTGATGTCATGAATCCACAGGTCTCAGTTTTCTGGTGTCATGTGTCGCTTGATGATGGGGATATGGTTGGAGAGATTCATCGTCAGGCGACTGTATCTCTGCATAGAAGTCACAGAGCAGCTGACAGGTGTGTAGAGGTCTAGCCTGTGACACATCTAGCCACACAGTAGGTATGTATGGCACAGAGTACTGTCCTAGGGCCCAGATGAGCACATTAACACAATGGAAACAACTACCTCACATACATAATTGGTGACAGTCATGCTGTGTGCACTCACTTCAATGCCACAGAGGCACAGAGGCTGCTCCCCAGCATCACCACAGGAGTGATACAATGCCCCACGAGGTTACCATGGCTATGACATCATCAGCTCCACTACAATCTCCTGGGACATCATCGACCGAAATGTCCTAGCATGGCACACAGGACTGTACCAGGCATGTGCACTTCTTACCTTTCCACATCACACAGAACTATCCGAGCCACCTGTCCACACTGCTGAGGAAACTACATCCCCTAAGACCCTGGTCAGTAATCATGCCCTAGTGACATTAGGTGGCTATAATGAGGCTTATGAAGCGACAGAGCTTCCCAAACACGTAAGACTGTCTATGGCATCTGGGAGCCTGACCCCAGAGGAGGTCCCCCAGAAGGACATCCTCAGCAACTCTGTGCCACCTTAGCCTCAGCACTGCAAATGATGGCAGCTCTGGCCCTGACCTCCAGAGAACAAGCTTGTAGAAAGAGTAGATGATTTTATACAGGTTTCATTTCTGAACTCAAAATATCTTACAATCAGTGGCACCTTGGATCTGTTAGATAACTTAAAACACAAAGGAAAGGATCAAAGACACCAACACTTCGTAGAAATGGGCTTTGCACCCCACATCCATTGCCCTTGCTGGGCTGGTGTAGGGCAGGGGCTGTTATAGCACAAACCTAGTTTTAAAGTACTTTGAAATGTGAAAAAGGAAACAGAGCAGTCCTGAGAGACTGCAGACACTGTTGGTGTGAAAATCTATCATATATTCAATTCAACTAACCAGTAGAGGCAGCTAGTGACCCAAGACCAGTGTGTAGCCCAGTGGGGAGGGACAGGCCCAAAGACATCCTTGAGAGAGGACCAGGGTGGAGAGACAAATACAAACATGTCCTCAAGAGACAAACCTGCTTGTGATTTTGTTTTTGCTTTTGTTAATTCAATTTGGAATCAGAAAGTGGTGGATTCTGACAAATAGTCCTTGTGCCTTCCCTACCACCCCCATTATTCCTGGTAGGGGCTCCTGTTCTCCATAGTTCTTTGCCCCAAGCACCACCCCCACAGACTGGGGACCAGTCCCCTCCCCTGCCTGTGTCTCTCCCCAAACCCCTTTAGGTGAAGGGGGAAGAGGAGGGGAGGGGACCTGTCCCCTCCTCAGGCATCTAGGAGGGTCCTGCCCCATGGACTTCACCCTTTCCCTCAGGCTCTCTCCCTGACATTTGTTAAAATCAAAATAAATAAAACTAAAAGTTTTATATGACAAAAGAGAGAGAGAGATGACCAGGGACCAGCACTGAAGGACAAATGCAAAGATGCCCTGGGGAGAACCAGGGACCATGGATCTCCCTCTGTCACGTCAGACTGAAGCCCTCACTCTGGGCAGAGGTCTGTACTTCCACCAGCTGACCCTACACCAAATTTGCTGGGGTTAGGATCACAAGAACACCAATTTCAAAGATCATGGTGCCAAAAGACCCCAGCATAAGGTACCAGTCCACCACACCAGGTGCGTACAGGGACCTACCCAGCAACACAAATTACTCCAAGCCTGAGAAAGGCTCATGTGCACACTGCACAGCTCTTCAGGCCCACAGAAGTCAGTGTTCACCAGGAACAGAGTCCTAATGTGACCAACCTAGGCTGGGGGACAGTACACAGTTGCCATGTGTGCAGCACTGAGGAGGAGCCTACAGCACCTCCCTATATTGGGACAGAGACCCTTAGAGCAGACCCTGAGACTCTCACAAGGATGCAGCTCTGAGATCTCAAGTCACTGCCTCAAGTGCCAGCCTCAGGGCAAAGGCACATATGACCCAGTCTTCTGGGCAGTGTGGTGTCCACCATTTTGGACCCTGGCTGGCTGACTCCCTTATACCCTCTGTCCCTCCATGGCACCACCACCATCCAGAGATCCAGGCTGCACACTGCCACCAACCCAACAGTGATTCTCAGTCCCACCCTAGAATGAAAACCAACAGGAACGAACAGTCACTGAACTCTACCACCCAGGGCTGTTTCTGCTGAAATTATTAAGATGTAAAATTACTCCATAGTTCAGGATCTTCAGACAGACATTCTTGAGGAGGAAAATGTACTAAGAGGAATACTTCTAGACACATGGTAAGCAGTGGCAAGCCTGCCCAGAAGGATGTGTGGTGGTCCCCCCTAGATCCAGACGTCCAGCGCAGTCACAGCTTGGGGGACATGGTAAGACTCTGAGGTTTGGAACAGATGGCCAAGAGGGGCCAGAGCTCACTGTTCCTGTCAGCCTGCCCAGTGCCCACAGAAGCCCTTCTGCGGGACAAACCTTCCCGAAGCCCCTGATGCCTACAGGTCTGCAGCGTGTAGCAGGCATCATTCACAGAGTGCATAGCAGAAGGTCAGGCCACACTGGGACACTGTTGCAGAGGTCTGCTCTGACTCCTGTATTCTCTTGGCTTTTCTCCACCCACTCATATCAGTGTTTGAACATTCAGAAAACCTTGTTCATGATTTTTCACAGACTTCCTCAAGTCCAAGAAAGATGTGCTCCTGTGTTCCCACACCCCCATTCTTCAGTGCCCCACCACCACCAGCAGCAAGCTGTTCACACCAGGACAGTTTGCTGGTGCGTCCTGTGTGATGTCAAATCTGCTCAGGTTGGAGGACTTGTCAGAGCTCATTAAATTTATACATTTTGTTAGATTTAGGAGGCAAGAGAAGTGAGTGCCAGAACTTCTGACTGATGTTTTCCCCAGGTTAGGGTACACCTGCAGCATGCACAGCCCCCAGTGACAATGAAAGGTTGAACACCAGCCACTGGAAGTACTTCTGGTGCGTCATCAATTCTGAAACTGAACCAATGGAAGTGCTCTAAATGTCTGAGAGTAGTTAAAGCTTGTTCAGACCCTTGAGCACCCCATGAGCTAAGGTGCTGAGCGCTCCTAGCAGACAGGAGCAAGACACATCCTAGCAAGGGATACTGGCAGTGTGTCCACTCCCACCCCAACCCCATGAAATCTGCACATTCGTTCATTCAGTGAATATTGTCAACCACAGAGAGGAACTTATGCAAAGCTAAAAAGGGTCTCCCCTTGTCGGCCTCTAGGTAGGACAACTCCCTCAAAGCCAGGTGTGGACTCAGCTGCTGATCCAGAGAACACTGAAGTCACACAACACAATAGCAATGAAAACACCACCAGAAAAGCACCTGCAACACTGTTCTCCAGACCACATGCCAGTACCTGCTTGTCCCCACTTGAGCCAAGAATACACGGCCTGAACTCTCCACATTCACCTGGCGTTTCTGAGAACCATGGGGGCTCCTCCTCCCTCACTGTTTACTCTCGCTGTAACGAGATGCACCCAAGCCTCCACCCCTGCTGAGCTGAAGCTGCTCTGTCTCCTGGGTTTTGCGCACCACTGTTGGGTGGAAATTCCACACCCGAGCTTAACAAACCCCACCCAATCGCCAGCTGCCACTTCCACTTACAGAACTGTCCATTCTTACTGCTGCTGGGAGCATCCAGCTTGCCTTACCCTCCACCCCTCAGAGCAGCCCATAATTCAGGGTCTCCAGGTGACCCTACCCCTCGGATGCGGCATCCTGTGAGCTGTGAATCCCCCTCAGGTGTGTGACTGGCACTGACCCCCACAGTGTTCCTACAACCCTGACAGAGCTGCGCCAAGGTGTGACCCACTCAACAGGCTGCCCCTGGGTGTGTGATCCTGCACACAAAGGCAGAAGGAGTTCTGAGGCAGTGGTCCCTGTCCTTCTTACCACCAGATGCTCAGCCCAAGCCATCACAGTGTCCCTGACAGGCCACCATGGTTCAACCTGCTGCACCCAATGATACTGGACAAACTCAACAAGCCCACATGCCTCTCCTTCACAGGGCTCTCCATCTACTCACTCAGGGAGCAGCCCACAGATGAAACACCCTGAGGGTCCAAGAGGCCCTGAGGCAGGCAGGTTTCATGGAATCAGTGTAAGCTGCCCACCTTATGACCCACCAACATTCTCCCCTTCAAGGGCTCCTCCCTGCAGCCACTCTTTGGGAAAGGAGTAAAAACTACAAACACCTCTTTGGAAGCAGGGCAAAATTTTCTTCAAAACTAGAGATGGAGATAACCAAAAACCAAGACTGATGGTATGGGGCCCAGAAGGGGAGGCCACAGAAACAAGAAACAAGTTCCAGCACAGATGGTGGAAAACTGTCCTGTTTTGGCGATTCTTTTGTTTTTCGAGGTGGAGAAAACCTAAGAGATGCTGAGAAGGAAATCAGCACTAACCAGTGCGTCTGACTCTGTTGGCGAGGTGAAGCCATGTGTCCAGTCACAAGCATGCAGAGACAGACCCAGCATCAGGGGTTGGCACCAAGGGCACAGACAAGCCCCAAGACCCCTCCAGTGCCCTGCACTGACCCCCATCAACTCAGCCTCACCATAATGACATCAATGTTTTTAACAACATTCCCAGAGCTGCTCAAAGACCAAGATAAATATCATGTGTTTTCTTTCTCCTATTTTCCTCAGCTATGAAATCAGCTTCCAGTGGTAACTCTCCACATGAAGCAGGTGTGAGGGTCTCATCCACCCAGGGTGAATTCCTCCCGCCCTGAGGCCCCAAGCTACCCAGCACAGCCTATCCCACAGGGCGTCAGGTGCAAACAGCCAGAGCAAAAACAACTATGTCAAGACTGAATGATAGGTGAGATCACCATTTCCATGA